TTTTGAAAACGTGGAAAACACGAACAAGTTGGCAAAAAATGAGGATTTTTAGGAGTATTCATTCTCAAAGAAAGTTATTGTAAGATGGGGAAGGAGGAATGGAAGTGTGCAGGTATAGCAGTTGAGTCTAGATACTTGGCAGAAATGGCAAAGCAGTTGTGTATATATTTGTTGTTGTTCGGTATATATGTGTTTTTCATGCCAGTATTATATATATGCATTATTTTGTTGCACTAAGTCCAATAAATTGATTTGAATTCAATATTTACCCTTTGATACTTATAGAAATAACTTTTATAAACTCTCACTACAGTAGCAGTCTTTTCTTGCACTCAATAAAGTGACAGGGAATGGTGGCATCCAACTGAAGAAGTTCTAGCAGCTACTTAGCGAACCAGAGCACTCTGTTGTGTTGTACACACCCATTGCATCAAAACCCAAACATTTTTGCCAACAATGAATTGCAGACAGTCTCGTTTGCTTAAAAACAAATAAAATGACAGAAGATAGTTGTAAACAGCCCACTGAACAATCATATTGCATATACGCTCTGATCCATGTGGTTGGGATTGACTGCACATTTTATATTTATTCACTGTTATTTTTAGGAAAATTGTGATTGAATTGTTTTGGTGGGCATCTGCTTGTTATTAATAAATTTCACATGCTTGAAATTCACTGTTTTATTAAGAGATTGAAAAAAAAAAACAGTTTGTTTTATTGAAATATTGTGTATTTAAATTAATGCAGAACGTGTATCTGCAGTGTTTCTTAATAGGAACTGTAAAGATTATTTTTCTTTAAGATTACTGACACTCTGGGTGTTCTGTCATCTAATTGGGATAATATTGTTTTGTGCTTATAGTATTTCGTGAGTTCGATTAATATTTATAGATGGTTTGTTTTGTTAGATGTTGTGCAAAGGTAAAAGAGGGCTATCTATGCTAGTCATCCTTAATTTTGAAGTGATAAGTTATAGGGAAGACAGTTAGTCAGTCTGTTAACTCTGTGCTATTCTACTGAAGCTGAGTAGTGGGATTTGATTATCAATGTTATAATACACTTATGGTTCTGACGTTTGGAGCATGACTTTTGTATTGGCAGTAGCAGGCTGCGGATCACGGAACCTCAATTCCACAGTCCAGCATGCTAACCACTGAGTTTAAAGAAGAATTTCACTATCAGATCTTTACACAGATGTGTTGCATGTACCATTATCATATGAAGCTATTTATAGTATAATATAAATAATGTGTTTGAAATATTAATGGGAAGATGTTGGGTAATGGAAAAAGACAGATAGGGAAAAGAGCAAAAATTGGGAAGAAAGAAGAGCAAAAAGGATTATCAGAAAGTGTATACTGGCTATTGAGTTTTGATGTCGCAGTGCTATGGGATTGTTGTAAATCCTGCCAGACACTTTAAAATAGCAGAGAATAATGTTAAGCGCCTTGAGTGAACTTATGGGGAAAATGATTTTTTTCTATAAGATTATTTTCCTTGATTTAAAACTCTTTCAAATTTGCAACTTTTGAAGGCCTCTTCTTTTTTTATGCCAAATTAAGACTTCCTTTTAGAGTATATGTTATGAGAAACATAAAACTATACAGTTTTACAAGAAAAATTGCCTTAAAATGTAAAATGTTCTCGACGTGAAAACTATTATATTTATAACTAGCTGTGACATGCAAAACATTTGTGGTAGTTTTCCTTTACTTTAATATTTCTTATTCTATTAATTTCACACACAGAATTAAAGCTATGCTTTTTTGCAGGCATTGTATTAGATCAATAAATCCTGGTTTATTTGAAAAACTTTCAAACAGTCAGACAAACTTGCATAGGTATATTTTTTATTTATTTAATAAAACTACACACATGTAACTTTATTTAATAAAACTACACATAAAGTAAACAATAAAGTATAGTAATGGTGTTATTTATAATAGTGTACAGAGTATGAAACACTTATGAGTGTTCAGTTTTATGAGTTAAATTAAGAAAACTTGCAAAAGCAAAGAGTAAAACCCATACCAAAGAGAAAAGATGTTTTTAGCAGTCTATGAAATGAACCAAAGCTACATTATTGTAAAGTAAATGTAAAGTTGTAATGAAGGCAAACTTAGCTGAATATGCAGAAACATCTGAATGTTTGTTCACAAAGTGATAAGCATGGTTTGAATGAACATCCATATGTTAGACCTAAATGAATGTAAAAATCCCATAGCAAATGTATTTAGTGTAGTGTTCATTTTTATAGGAAATTACACAAGGTTTAAGTGTTGTTTGTGTGAAATTCTTTGCAAATAAAAACAAACAAACTAAAGTTGAAATTGAAGCCAGATATCACATATATATGACAACAACATTGTACCACCATGTAGCATACTTATTGCATTAAAAAGTTTGATTAAGCAAAAAAAAAAACAGATAAGGTGATTCTGAGTGGAAATGACAATATGCAATCTGGACTCCTTGGCCAAAGGCCTTTCTGATGATATGAGAATTGTATCATTTGATTGAGAAATTTGCAAGAAAAGTTCTGGACAGACAAATGCAAGTGTATTATTTATATAGATTGTATGAGTAATTATAGTAAGGGAATGAATATGAATTCTTTGTAGATACTCTTCAACTGTATAAATTTAAATAAACTTCAATGTACTTGGGCTGTTTTAACAGCTGAAGCTTCAGTTTACAAAAGCGAATATACAACTGTTTGCCTATAAAGTTATGGGGTGTTTTTTGCAGGCCAGGTAAACCCCCGGCTGCCCAGGACATTTGGAGATGGATTGATTCACAAGTCACATTTTGATGCTCTTGTGGAAGGACAGCTGGAACTCCCAGAATCGCAACCCCCAAAACTAAGTGATGTTGAAATGACTATTGGAAAGT